AAAACTTCATCAGCAATGAACATATTTGATACAAACGTAGACAATGAAAGAGAACAACATCAGTGCTTTAGTGCAAACAGAGATATCCTACTGGAAGAAAAAAGCTCAATAAAATAATTATATAAAATTTGTCACACATCCTTATTCTGTTGGACAGTCTTCCAATAGGATGATTGGAACAATGCACACCCAGATGCAAGCACTCCAGTAATAAAATGGCAGGTGATGTTGGGCAGTTCAATGCAGGAATTAGAGGATTATGTCATTGTACTTTACATATCTTAGTTTTTTTTGACATTTTCTACAAGTTTTTTCTCCCCTGAAAACGGTGGCTAAGCAAACACTGGATCCTCCATGGGCAAAATGGTCTGCATAATAACTTAATTCAGTGATGGTGACTGCGAATGACAGGACCTTGTCGCCCACTAATAGGATTATAAACCTCAGGTTTAATCTGATATTCTAGCTTTTAACTATTTGACCAAACTTCTCAAGGAGTTAGAAACCTTTTACAGCCGCACCAAGGCAAGGACAGCCCCTAGAGACCGGTTTGTGGGCCAGAAGAGGCTGAAGTGCTTCCTCCTGGAACCTCAAACTTCTTCACAAACCAAATGGTGCATCCTTCCATTGAGCCAAAGTTTGGACCCTTCAGTGTCCAGGGATATGACCTACCTGGTCCTGCTGCCTCTTTTGCAGGCTTCCCTGCTCAACTGGAACCCAAACCTGTCAATCAGGCTACCCTCAAGACAGGGAACTTGTCAGTAACATCACGAACACATTGTGCAGTTCAAATGCCAGAGCACACAGACAACCCCAAACTTCCAGATTTCTTTCTTGCCTTGGGCAAGTCACCCAGTAAAACTTTCCCTCATTTCCACATCGCTCTGCTATACGTGATAATAACGTAAAGATAGGTGCAGAGTAAACCTCAGCTCACTTTACTCAATGTTGCTCAATCTTCGGCACCCCTATATAACTTAATGACACCGTTTCTGCCCTAGTCATCTTTGGGCCTGAGCAGTATTGGCAATTAACACTGCAGACCTGTGCCTGCTGGAAGTACACATAGGATCCTATTGGAAGCAAGGCTCTCACCCTATCACTGTGGACTAAATTAGGTCAAAAGTAAAAGTAGGCATCTAATCATAGTGGTGCAGACTCAATTCATTGCAAGTTTAGCTGAAATGTCACTAGCAAACTGTATAAAAGGCAACAGCATTTTTCAAAACACAATTCATACTGACGCTTTTGAAGAACTGTACAGAATACTTTATTTCACTGGATGCTCGTGATACATCTTTGACTAGAGTGTTGCAGCATTTACATTCAGAAGATGAAATCAAGGTTAAGATTTGGACTGAGATAGCAGGAACTGCAGATGCTGGAGAATCTGAGATAACAAGGTGTAGAGCTGGATGAACACAGCAGGCCAAGCAGCATCAGAGGAGCAGGAAGGCTGACGTTTCGGGCCTAGACCCTTCTTCAGAAATGGGGGAGGGGAAGCAGGTTCTGAAATAAATAGGGAGAGAGGGGGAGGCGGATAGAAAATGGATAGAGGAGAAGATAGGTGGAGAGGAGACAGACAGGTCAAAGAGGCAGGGATGGAGCCAGTAGAGGTGATTGTAGGTGGGGAGGTAGGGAGGGGATAGGTCAGTCCAGAGAGGACGGACAGGTCGGGGCGGGGGGGAGCGGGATGAGGTTAATAGGTAGGAGATGGGGGTGGGAAAAGGGGATAGGTGGGAGGAAGGACAGGTTGGGGAGGCAGGGACGAGCTGGGCTGGTTTTGGGATGCGGTAGCGGGAGGGGAGATTTTGAAGCTTGTGAAGTCCACATTGATACCATTGGGCCGCAGGGTTCCCAAGTGGAATATGAGTTGCTGTTCCTGCAACCTTCGGGTAGCATCGTTGTGGCACTGCAGGAGGCCCAGGATGGACATGTTGTCTGAGGAACCGCAGGAAGAGCTACACCAGCCCCCACACCTCCCCCCTCACCCCCATCCCAGCCCTCAAGAAGACTTTCCACATCAAGCAGATGTTCTCCTGCACATCTGCTAATGTGGTATACTGCATCCGCTGTTCCTATTGTGACCTCCTCCACATCGGGGAAACCAAGCGGAGGCTTGGGGACCGCTTTGCAGAACCCTACACTATGTTCGCACTAAACAACTGCATCTCCCAATCGCGCACCATTTCAACTCCCCCTCCCATTCCTCAGACGACGTGTCCATCCTGGGCCTCCTGCAGTGCCACAACGATGCTACCCGAAGGTTGCAGGAACAGCAACTCATATTCCGCTTGGGAACCCTGCGGCCCAATGGTATCGATGTGGACTTCACAAGCTTCAAAATGTCCAAAATCTCCCCTCCCGCTACCGCATCCCAAAACCAGCCCAGCTCGTCCCTGCCTCCCTAACCTGTCCTTCCTCCCACCTATCCCCTTCTCCCACCCTAAGCCCCACCCCCATCTCCTACCTACTAACCTCATCCCGCCGCCCTGTCCATCCTCTCTGGACTGACCTATCCCCTCCCTACCTCCCCACCTACACTCACCTCTACTGGCTCCATCTCCGCCTCTTTGACCTGTCTGTCTCCTCTCCACCTATCTTCTCCTCTATCCATCTTCTATCCGCCTCCCCCTCTCTCCCTATTTATTTCAGAACCCCCTTCCCCTCCCCCATTTCTGAAGAAGGGTCTAGGCCCGAAACGTCAGCCTTCCTGCTCCTCTGATGCTGCTTGGCCTGCTGTGTTCATCCAGCTCTACACCTTGTTATCTCTTATTTAAGATTTGGACTGTCAGCATGGACTACTCTGAACACACTTAGTGTAGTCAGGAATTGAAAACTAAGCATGGGCTTTGGTTACTACTTCCTGAACACAGAAAACAAACAAAAATATGGCTGAGGCTTTGAACCAAATAGAATAATGATCTTGAGCTCATCAATGAAAGCTTAGATTAATTCTCAAATTACATGGTGTTAGCTGATTACGAATAGTTTATGTTGCTAATGACCTGATTTACAGCCCTGGAAAATCAAACTCATCAAGAAAACTTCAATTTTCAAAATTTCTTTCATTTGAATGTTGAGGTTCACCTGACAGCCTTACGCTACATTTCTTGGGGGATGCATTTACAAAAACAATAACTTTTTATTTTAACACATTAGCCATTTGTACATAATCTTAATGGGTTGAGTTTCTATCATAAGATGATGTTAGCTATACTGATATCTAGTAGATGCTGAAACATAAACTCACTTCTAACATGAACACAATTAAGGAAATAATTTCTGCTTGAATCAGGATCGTAACAATTCACAACTGTCCCTGGATGAGGAGCAATACATAAACTCGGTAAAACCTTATTCAATACATTAGCCCAGATATTTCAATGTTCAGGTAGTCATACCGACAACATAGACTGGAGCCGCACATTGGGAACATGTGGAAATTTCTAACGCAGCTGACTGATGGAGATAACAAGGTTTAGAGCTGGATGAACACAGCAGGCCAAGCAGCATCAGAGGAGCAGGAAAGCTGATGTTTCGGGTCTGGACCCTTCTTCAGACTTTGATGGAATTGTCTGGGAAATTGAAAATCCTAATGGCAATTCCCCTACATCTGGACCACTCTGAAAAAGCCCCAAAACGAGGAGATTTCAGAAGGCTCTAACTCACTTAATATTAACAATTACCCAGGAAATATTAGAGGGTTAAAAATCTACTCCATCTATTGGGTACCTATTATAGTGAACTGCCAAATTTACTACTGACCCCTGCCTCCACCTCTGCCCACTCCCCATAACCCCATCAACCAAACCCAACCCCAGGGACCTCTTCGCAGCCTCCAAAGCCCACCTGACCTGGTTCCTCTCCCATCACTAACCCAATCCCTTGACTTACCCTACACATACATCCAATTACCTGGTAGCCCTCACATCCCTCATACACCTAGCATTTGACACCCCTTCCCACCAACACCCTGCGCTCAATAATGTGGCACCCTATCCCCTCACAATTAACTTACAAACTTATCCTTTTACAGGAGCTGTCAAACTGGGTGTTTGTGCTGCTTGACACATACATCCTAGAACGTAGCATGCAGATTACCAAAAAAGGGGACACGGTTTCCATGACTATTCCCTCTGCTGCTGGCTGCGAACATTCCTGGACAGGCCTCAGCTCCCACCCAAGAATTTCCACAGTACAGATCAGCAAAATGTAACCGTGTATATTTTTCTTCCTCCAAGATCATTGTTGGAAGTAGGCTTTCTAAAACAAATTGGAATTTCTGGGCTATTACATTGTTTGCTGAGGGGTCAGCTCCTCAAAGACACCCAGAACTGGCCCTGGCAAACATCAGTGGCTCCGTCCATTCAACTCACTTGTCACTTCTGCAAAAACGCGCCACGTTATTAACTATTTCACAAACTCAAAAGAGTTACATTTATTAAAACAGACCTAACATCAGGAAAATACACACATTTCACAAGACGCATTATGTATTAAAAGAGAAGATTGGATAGATTATCCACAGCAATATCCCTTTCCCAACACTTGCACTTTATAAATCCTCAATGAAACAACTTGAGGCAGAAGCCAGTGACGGTTTCACCAATTTTAATACAGAAATACTCGACCTAAAATGGTTTCATTTAAATAATTCTTTTTCAAACTTCCCTCTGTCAGAGGATATGTTCTGCAAATGGGCAGATAATCTGTATCCAGACCTTGCCTAAAATATGTGAACAGGAGGAAGGAACTTGATATGCATTTTGCCTTTCTCCCTGCCTGTGTTCAGTGCTCAGCTTCTGTTCTCCATCTTCCTGATGGCAGGAGTAACTATGAACACAAATCTTCAGTACATCATGTGGGGTGCTGCATCTCAATCAATGTAATATCACCAATTTCTACAGATTAAACTCAATTTAACATTTTAGGAACAAGTTATTGAACTCTATATGAAATTTTCAACGATTACAAGAAAAACTCTGTCAGAGGCACGATTAAAACAAGACAATTTGTTTTTAATAATTTCATTGAATTTTATATCAGCTTTCAAAATGAACTATTCTAACTTTCAATCCAGTCTAAGGTCGCCACAGATATTAATTGCTTTAAATATATAAACTCCAAACCATGCCCTAGCATGTACATCAGTAACCGTGGTTTCCAAGGACTCACTTCATCTTAATTGTTGGTTACATGACATGAGTAACAAAAATATCAATTCAACTGTAAATACAAATAAAATATCAAACACTATACACTACTGAAATGTGTAAACATAAAGTGTCTATTAACACAGAACTATGCCGATATTTCAGCCTGCTACTGAATCTAAAAGCATTCTCTGTCTCCCACCCTCTCTCACGTAGCAGCTCCCACTTCCGATCCAACCTTTAATACTGAACAGTATCACTCAGATGAATTTAACCTTTCTGCTTTTAAAGAATGATAATTATAGATGAAAGCTGGAAATCCTGCATGATTGCAGTCCCTAAATATCTTCGCCAACCCACTGTATTCACACAAGTGCTCCCTATTGAAAAAAAAACTATGTTCTTCACTCATTAACACGAGGAACACAATGCTGGGATTGCCAATATTTTCAATTTTTTTAACAATGACAAATCTTGTGTTTTGAAGTCTAATGCACAATTTGAGAGGTTATAAATTAACCTCAATGTAATGCTCCAAGAATTCAGAAATTGCTAAATCAGCTAACATGCTACCTGCCTTATACAGATACCAATTTCTAGCCGGAATTGATAGGTATCAGCATATTGAGAGTATGAGAGATTTCAATCCTGGAAAACTCTGGTTAAAAGCTGCTACTTCTTCCTCCAAGATTTAAATCTGTGTGGCTTTGTACCAAAACGTGCTGTGATGCCATCTGCCATAAATGATGTCAGCATATTCCACAAACAGACTTAACAATACAGCCACACTAACAAAAGTAACCTGCAGGTTCATCATAATACTGCTTGTTATCAAGATACAACTGAATAGATTGCATCCATGTACCTGTTATTTCAGGTGTAAATTATTTTCTTCCTCAAAATGCAAATGATTGTAGACTTGTAAGAATGATTTAAAAACAGAGGGTAATGGGCTGTCACCTGAAGAGACAAGGCTGGAAGAACACTCAATATGTTGTTGAGTTACATATAATGGAGGAATCATATTTAGTGCAGCAATCTCCTTTCGACAGACTGCCTTGCCAGTGTATCATCAGCCCTGGCGCCTGAATACTCTTCTCTCCTAATACGGAGTTATTGCATTTCCCAACACACACGAACACCTTCCTGTCTGAGCAGAAGTGTCAAATTCATCAACTGTGGTGTCAGGTTTAAGCAGGGTCTACTGGAAACTGGACTGAGACGAGTCTAAACTAATTTTGCTGTGACCCTCTAAGAGTCTATTTATACTTTATCTGAAGAGCATGTAAGTTAGCTTTCTCTATACTATCCTTGTCATATCAATGCACATTAATGTTTTGTTCTGCATTTTCTGCCAGGGACTAAGTTACAACCTTCTAAACCAATTCTGTTAGCAAAGCATAAATATAACAGCAATGCACACCACAATTCACATCAATATTGTCCACAGGCATTTGTTGAAACCTGTATGTCCCTTAAAGAGGCCAAAAATTTTTAAAACACGTGTTAAACCCAGATCCTAAATTAAATCACATTTAGAGAACAATGTTATTTTTAAATTGAATCCATCTATCAAGCATTACCTATTCTGCAACCACCACACCATATGCACATTCTCAAAATTCAAATAAAATTATATAGTAGAAATAAAGTGCTTAAATATACTGTAATTGCAACAAATAAAATTAGAGAAGCAAGTGAAATTAATATTGCATTTCTGCTTGGTAATTAGTAAACATATATGGCCTCAGTTAATACAAGGTTTCTGATTTTTTAATATTATTTGTGCACTTATAGCTTAGACACTGCAAGAGAGATACTGTTAATAAATTACTGATGTGAGGAGTGCACTCAAGAAGCAGAGAATCTCGATATCTTGATTATATAATACCGTCGGTATGGCAGTTCATTTTTCTTCAATCTGGAAAAGAAAAGCACAGGCAAGCAACCATTAATTAGGAGGATGTGCATCTTCGAAAACTGAACTATTTCATCAGCACATCATGAAATCACATCACTTGCAAGCTACATCCCTGCAATATGCCATCAGTGAGATGTAACTACTTTATTCTTTGTGGGATGTGAGTGTGCCACTGGCAAAGCTAGCATTTGTTATTCATTCATAATTACCCAAGAGAAGCTGGTGGTGAGCTGCTTTTTAAACAACTGTAATTCATGTGGTGTAGGTTTACCCAGTGTTGCTCGGAAGGGCTTCTGACCCAGCAATTGTGAATGAACAGAGGCGCCTTGGAAAACATTATTTCAAGCTTCGGTGTTTCCTGGCATCCACTGCCCCTGGCCTGGCAATGGTCACATGTTTGGAAGATGCTGTTGAGGGATCCTTGGTGAATTGCTGTAGTACCTGTTGTAGATGATACACATTCCTGACCCTCTGAGTCAAGGGTGGATGAGATGCTGACCAAAGTGGGTTATGTTGACTTAGATGGTACTGAGCTTCTTGAGTGTTGTTGGAGCTGCACTCATCCAGGCAAGTGAGGATATTCCATCACATTGATCAGTGCCTTGTGGATGGGGGACAGCACTGAGGGAACATGGAATGAGCTACATAATGTAGAATTCTCAGCTTCTAACCCATTCTATTAGTCACAGTATTTATATGGCTTATCCAGGCTGGTCGATGATGGGATGTTGATGGTGGGGATTCAGCAATGTTTAGATTCTCTCTTATCAGTGATCATCGGCTGACATTTAGGTGGCATGAATGCTACTGGTTTACAGGTCTCCTCCCAATTTATAGAGGTAGGCGGCATTCTTAGCAAAACAAAAAGTGTTCTGCTTTTAACAAAAATGACTGGGAACATATAAGAACATCAGAGATAGGAGCAGGAGTAGACCATACCGCTCTTCTAGCCTGCTCTGCCATTTAGTCTGATCATGGTTAACTCCGGGTTTCAAGTCGATTTTCTTCTGCTGCATCACAAACTCATATCTGTATTCCACCAACATGTATATGACTAGCATCAGACTCCCTCACTCCTTGCATGTCTTGAGTCCCTGAGAGACAAGAATATCTGTCTATCTCAGTCTTAAGTATATTCAATGGTGGGTGCATCCATAATCCTCTGGGTAGAAAATGCCAAAGATTCAAAATTCCTTGAGTGAAAAAACATCTATTTAGTCTTAAATGATCTCCCACATTATCTTGAGACTGTGTCCATGTTCTGGACTTCCCAGCCAGAGGAAACAAAAATCTTCGTGTCCACCCAGTCCACCCTTTAGAATCTTCTATGTTTCAATCACATCACCTCTCATTCCTCTGAATGCCAGAGAATTTGCTCAACCTCTTATCAAATGACAGTCCCCTCAGCCCAGGAACTAATCTAGTGAACCTTCAGTGTCCTACCTCCGATAGAGTTCAGAAGAAAGGATGCCCTACAGCAATTATACAAGGCCTTGGTGAGACCATACCCAGAGTATTGTTTGCAGTTTTGGTCTCCTTATCTAACAGAGGATATAGACGCCATGGAGGGAGTGCAATGGCGGTTCACTAGGCTGATACCAAATATATCAGGACTGTCCTATGAGAAAATATTAATTCGACTGAGCCATATTCACTACAGTTTAGAAGGATGAGGAGGATCTGATTGAAACATATAGAATTCTAACATGGCTGGACAGACTAGATACAAAGAGGATGTTTTTCCTGGTTGGGAGGTCAAGAACCAGGGGTTAAAGTCTCAAGATATGTGGTAGACTACTAAGGAGATGAGGTGAGGAAAGATATCTTCACTCAGAGTAGTGAAGCACAGGAATTCTCTACCACAGAAGACTATGGTGACCAAGTCACTTAGTATGTTCAAGAGAGAGATAGATACATCATTAGATTTTAAAGGCATCAAGGCTATGGGGAGAAAGTGAGAATATTGCATGGAGATAGAGGATTAGCCATGACCATACTGAATGACAGAAGGGTCAAATAGCCCACTCCTGCTCCTAGCTTCAATGTAATAGAAGTTAATCCTTCCTTAAACAAGACCAAAACTGCACACAGAATTCTGCGTAAAGCCCTATTCAATTGCAGCAAGATTTCTTTATTAAAAATAGCCAATTTCTTACAATTGGTCAGGTTAGAAAGTTACATTATATAGATGTTTTTAAAAAAAAAATTAGATCTTTAGAAAAGTAGAATACTGATTCCGATGTTAACTGTCTCTCTCCATAGATGTGATTAGACCTGCTGAGTTCTCTGATTTCTTTCACATTTTTACAGACTGATGTGTGTATATTTTTTAAGATTTTGATCAAATAAACAAATGAAGGCTCTGGTTTAGGTTGCACAGTAAAAAATGTGCACAATTTGCAAACCATAATAGGTGCAATCAACTCAGCAACTGATATCTGGATTTATTCACCATTAGTTGTTTTAAGATACACTACTTTATGAAATGCAATTTGTGCAAATCCACAAATCAACAACTGTTTCAAATGAAATAGCAGAGTAACTTTCAAAAGAATTCCCAGTTCTGGAATGTAATCAGAAATTATGAACGAAAGTAGTGATTTCCAATTTCAATCAAGGAAACGTTCACTTGACTGACAGAACCTTACTGTTATATAAATTCTACTCAAGGGCAGGATTTTGGTAGACAATTGGAGAAAGGAACTGAAGGAGACTGGGTATATTATTTTGTAAACCAGCTGACATACAGACCTAGTGATTCTGAGCAACTAAATCTGTTAACGAGCTTACGCTCAGCTTATTAAAGGCTAGACTGTACTTCCGAGGGATGATATAGGATTTGCACTGGATCTGGAACAGATGAAGTGGGAGGAGGCAACAACACAGCAAGGGACCAGTCATGGCTATGTCATTCAAAGAGTTGGGTATATGAAAGAAGCACTCATCCACTGGCACACAGTTACCACGAGTGACCAGAGTCCGAGAAGCATGCGGTGTGTACGCACTTGGGTCAGATGAGCAGGTTGTGTTCCTCCACGGATTGTGGAACCACCGGAGGATCCCGTGTCAGGAAAACAAGCTGATTCTCTGGTGATTTTAATGGCAGAACTGGGAGAGACACAAGCTTCTGGAAAGGTATGATTGATAAGGAAGACAAAAGGAAGGTAAACATAATGGAGTCCTCCTCCTGACGAAATGCCTAGAGCATAACAAACACACAATTTCATCAGACAGACAAATACAAGACCTCAGCAACAGCCTCGTTCCACACATTGGTACCTGCTTCACTGGGTCGTCATTAGATCGAGGCAGCACCAGGATAAACACACCACCCGTGCCATGACAGGAGCTGACCAACTGCTAGACCAACCAGTGGGTGGCACGGTGGCTCAGTGGTTAGCACTGCTGCCTCACAGCACTAGGGACCTGGGTTCGATTCCACCATCAGGTGACTGTCTGTGTCAAGTTTGCACATTGCGTGGCCTTGCTCCGGATGCTCCAGTTTCCTCTCTCAGTCCAGAAGATGGGCAGGTTAGGTGGATTAGCCATTCTAAACAGCTCATAGTATCCAGGGACGTGCAGGCTAGGTGGAATAGCCATAGGAAATGCAGGTTTACAAGGATAGGGTAGAGGGGCTGGGTGTGGTTGGGATGATCTTTGGAGGGTCAGTGGGTACTCGATGGACTGAATAGCCTGCTTCCACACTGTAGGAATTCTATGATTCTATGATCTCATCATCCGGCCTAATAAACAGCAGCAGCTTCAGAAAAGCTGCCTCAGGTAAATCAATCTCAATGGATTCAAAATCTCCGTGAAGGAAGACCTACCCAGTTGATGCCTCACAGCCAACCTGGAAACACTCAACGAAGAGGAACCACAGAATGTCTAAAGTGTCTGGAATGCCCTTAACTCCATAATAAAGCTACCTCGAAGGAGCTTTGAGGTTTCAGGAAACATCAAGACTGATTTGGCCAGGAATGACTAAGTCACAAACACAAGGTGTTCCGGTATCGGAAACACCATCAAAATTTGAGGGAAAGAAAGCAAGTCCACAGTCAAATTAAGGCCAAAGTCAAACAAGAGAACAAGAAAATAAAGAACACATGGTGGGTGGGAAAGCACAAGGAAATAAAGCAACTTTCCAACAGCCGTGACAAGCGTGGATTCTTCAACACAGTCAAGGCCATACATTGTTCATGTACGCAAAGACCTATCCCACAGACAGCTAAGAACAGAGTGGCATTCATCAAGGACAAAGAGGCATTTGTTGGAAGGAGCACTTTGAGCCCTCAGTCCTGTGTGACTGCCCTCAGCCTGCTCTCCTCAACCTCATCCTGCTCCTCTCCACCCTGGTGCCCTCAACCTCACCCCTCAGTGTGCTGCCCTCGACAACCTCCAACATAAGGCTGAAAAGTTAAGAATCTGATACTTAAGAATCAACAAGACCAATGATGTAGATAGATGCCTGCTCAAACACTGAGATACTGCAGAGAAGCTCTTCTGGCTCGTATACACGACCCATCTCTCTCATCTGGAAATACAAGAGCATGCCAGGGCATTTCAAAGGTGCTGTAATTGTGACTACCTTCAAGAATGGAGACTTAACCAAATATGATAACCACAGAGGGATATCCCTGCTGTCCACCACAGGGAAGCTCATTGCAATAATTCACATCAATCACCTCCTCCAGAGACTGAAGAGCTCATCCTGGAGCCACAAAACAATTCTGTCCATCAAGAAACACAGTGGACATGATCTATACTGCATGATAAGTGCAGAAGGAGCAGCAGCAATCTATACACATGGCCTTCTTTGATCTCACCAAGCCTGTTGACTCTGTTAACCAAGAGCCACTGTGGAATGTCGTCCTCAAACCTTATGGTCCACGGAAACTTATCACTATCCTCTGGCTGCTACATCACAGCAAACACGTTGTGATCCTCACCATTGAATCCATCACAGACCATCAGTGCAAACTGGGGACAAGCAATGCACCATT